CCTGCGTCAGGCGGTAGGTGAGGACGCCGTAGCGTCTCTCAAGCCACTCCTCAAAGAGGGGACTTACCGCTGCGATGGCAGCGAGCCCATGACTGCACGGTTGGCGCGGTGTCTGGGCAACTGGCTGCCGTGCAACGTGTCGCGGGTTCGATTCCCGCACGGAACAACTCTTTGTGTGATCCACAGATTGTTGTTCCGGGTCTGGGTGTCGGGAATGTGTATGTGATATTGTATGTTTGTAAACGCACCCACGACACAGGACAAAATCCTAGTGTGGGGCAACGTTTTTTTTTTAAAAAAAACATACTATAATAACATTTTTAAAATTTTTGTCTGTCTATATGTTTGTATTGGCTAATCTCTGGAACGGCTGGACTGGTTATAATCTCAATCCAATATCTATGGATAAATCTTTTTTTTTAATTTTCCCAAGAGAAAAACGTCAAACTCATTATAGATTATAAAATTTAGTACATATTACAATGAAATAGGTGAACTGTTTACAACTTTACCTTGCCCTTAAATTATGATTTTTAATAGAAACTTCATTCAAATAATGTCAAAAAGTTATATTACCACATAACATAACATCACGCCTTTTATCCCTGAACGGGTTTGCAGAGGCGCACATTTTGTCACTTAATGCCACTGTACAATGTAATACCCACTTTTCACTATTTATGTTATGAGTCCCATGTAATAGGTGGTGAGCCTATTGCCATATACCGGGCACAATTCCGGAATCCGTGCTAGTAATGAGAATTTTATTTTAAAAACCCTGACAAGTGTATTAATTTGCCCGACCCGGGAATCGAACTCGAGACTCCTTGTCCGGCAGTCGCACTTGCGACCACTCGGCCAGTGAGGCAAAAATTTATTTTAATTCAGAGTAATTCTGAATCCGTTGTCGAAATCAACAGTTAATCCACGAGGTCCACTTTAGACCTCGATTAACATCACTACTTCAAATCTTCTAATTAACTCGTCGAGTACCGTCATTATAGACACAATTATAGAACAATAGGTTGCGGTCACCGGTGACCGCTTGGTGTTTGACAGTTTAAAGAGACCCATTTATCTAAAACTTTCGTGGGTCCATACTAAATTAATTATTGTATTTTCGACTTACTCACGTAATTGTTTGACGAGGAACTCGACTAGTTTCAAGCCATGCTAGAGGCTCATATTCGAACGAGAGGGAATGAATATGATACCACGGGTAGGGGAAAGTGCGCGTGAATCCCGGCAGAGGGCGCGGTGGGCTCGCACCACCACAGGGTCCAGCAGCCAATAGCAGTGCGACAGTCGCCGCGTTGAGGAATGCTGCTCATGAATATGAGCCTCTAGCATGACTTGAAACTAGTCGAGTTCCTCGTCAAACTTAAATAATCAAAAAACATGATATAATTTAGAGACGCATATTATATCTAAAGGTTCTACCTAACATCGCCAGTTATATGTATTATAAGCCGTAAAAGATGGTATATCTAGCGTAAATATAATTATGTTTTTATTATGTAAGTTAAACAAACTGAGTATCTATTTTTCATTTTATTATCTGCATTATAAAACTAACTAGCTTTTACCCGCGCCTTCGCTCGCGTCACAAAAGGATCAAAGATAGCCTATGTGACATATACCAATACACACAGCGCCATCTATACCAATACTTTTGTTTTCCCTCGGGAATATCAAATTTTTCCGGGATAAAGAGTACCCTATTATTTAATCCGGACTTCTAACTTTACGTCTGCAAAAATTCAAAGTAACCAGTTTAGTAGTTACGGCGTGAAAGCGGAACAAACAAACAAACTCACTTTCCAATTTATAATATTAGTAAGGATTACTCACGAAAATTATGTAACAACAATACAACACGTAATTTTGTAAAACTAATCTAAGTATACAAAAGTAATAAAAATGTTGAGTTTAATTAAAAAACGCGGGTTACTCACGTGAATATATTGAGAAAACCTCTACTAGTTTCGGTGATGTCACCTAGAACGCGCACGGTGCTCACGAGGAAGAACCCCTCTGTGATTCGAAACTTTCTCAGTATATTCACGTGAGAAACCCGCGATTTTTAGTTAATTTAGTATGTCTCACGATAGTTATTATAAAAACAATTATAATGTTGAGTTTATGAGTTAATTTGATTGTGCTAACTAATCTTTTTGCATCATCTTTAATTAGCTATTATGAAGATATTCTCGATGCAATTCCATGTACATACTTGCAAGTCAGACAAAACAATATAATATAACATCACGCCTTTTATTCTGGAAGGGGTAGGCAGAGGTCCATTGTACAATATAACACCTAATTTTCACTATTTATGTTATTATGTTATAATAGGGGCCCATGTAATAGGGGATGAGCCCATTGCCATATACTGTGCACAATTCTAGACTTCGTGCTACTACTAAGATATTTTTAAGAAATCCTTTAATACTTTGCCCGACCCAGGACTCGAACCCGAGACCCCTTGCCCGGCAATCACACTTGGGACCACTCTGCTAACGAGGCAGGCAGACAAAACAATATCTGTGACTTTTTTGCAATATGCAGGCTTGAATATTTCGGATTAATGGACAATATTGTGTGACATCCAAAAGCCCCTTGCTTAAAATGGGCTCTTTGCTATTAAATTTTGACT